CATCAAATTAACCCACTACTCAGTAAGATAATTAATATTAATACCTGGTAAATCCCGGATGTTACAAGATGACCCACTTGTGTTTGACTGGGGTACCACACCCTTACATACTACCCTAAATATGAAGTTTTCATTTTTAGCTATATATATATATATATATATATATATATATATATATATATATATATATATATATATATATATATATATAAAGATTATGTATCACTTCCTTTAGTAGTTTCTTGTCATTGTAGATTTCACCAAGGGAAAACTTCGCCTCATATACTACCCTTGCAAAAGATCTTGTTAGTTTGCTCAAGTTTAACTACATCCTCTACGTCATATTCTCTTCATACCATAATAACATAAATCTTTTTGTATTAATCACTTATATTTCTTCAATTTCCATACTTGTGTCACTAAGCCTTGCATCACTTGCACTAAGTACTTCCATTAAAGGTTCCACACCAATGTGAAACTATGTCTTATTGTCACTACCAATTTTGTAAACTTTATACACTGTTTGCTAATCAACTTGACACTTCACAACCATATTTGTTTCAATATTGAAATCGTAATCTTCCTATAAATTTCCATCGTACGGTACATCATGACCTCTTGGATCAAATAATGGATATAAAATTCATTTTCTTGTTTAACATGGGCTCAAACATCAATATCAACCATTAGGACATCTACATATAAGAGTGGTACACTAACATATACCATTGGGACATTCTTCTAGTCTCTGTCATGGAATGTTATTCTTCTAAGTAAAAAATCCACATTAAAGGATGATGATGGTTACTAAAAGGGACTAAAATCCTTAAGAAATCAACATGGTAAATATATTTACTCTAGGAACCGTCACATGAACCATTTAGGTTAAATTCGAGTTTTTTGCTATAAGATCCATTGTTTTTTAATCTTTTTCTTACATTGTTTCATTTTAGTTGATGGATCATCATCTATTTCCTCAATGATAACTTTTACTAGAGATGATGTATATTTTGAGGATGTTGTTACCATGTTTTGTGAAAATGTGGATTACCTTAAACGGAATTGCATACCTTAACAATTAGGACATCTTAATCATTACCAAGAAGTAATAGTATGAAATCCAACTTTGTTTCGGGCATGCACATATAGTAATATATGGGTTCCTTTTTCCATAGCCCATCTATTTCATCATCATGTCAACCTCGTGAACATAAAATTCCTCTACTTCGGCATAGTCCACGAATGTCACCTTCCCACGATTTTACAAATTTTTAGGTGATTTTATGAAAACACCTCCATGATTAACCAGCATTGTAACTATATTTCGTAACATCCCTGTAAAACACACAAACAAAATCGTTAAGCTTTCTGATATGAAATGGGTTTCGACAATAAATGAATAACAGAGTACAACTTACCATAATGCTTCTTCGAATAATTCAGTAGTTGGTTCCTTATATTTCGTAACATCCCTGTAAAAACACAAACAAAATCGTTAAACTATCTGATATGAAATGGGTTTCGACAACAAATGTAATAAAACTTACTGTACTACTTCGAATCAAGTTCATTGGTTGGTTCTCAGATGGTCCATGTTATTGGTTTAAACATGGTGCCTTTTTCTAACAAGTTACTTTGTTTCAACTGTTGTGGTATGATTTGAGGTCGATGCTAAGAATGTAGATGAGAAAAATGTTCTCTTGGGGGAAATGGTAACGACATGTCGACATGTTACAAACTTAATATGAATGTCATATGCATATTTATTGAGACATTTGGCGTCAAGAATTAGCTTGCAAAAGGATATGTGGAAAGACATATCTGCCTTATGTGTAGCACATGTGAGGGCTTTCTAACGGAGCCCATGTGACGTTAACTGGGACAGAGACAAAATGTACCTATTTTGAAACCATGTGGATGTTTGACATCAGTTTTATAAAACTTGGACTATACATGCACGCTGGGACAAACCACAAGGATCATTTATGTAGTTTACTCTAAATAATCTATCATACAACCTATAATACTATTAATACTAAATTATATTATAATTTATCTTTATTGAATCAACTTTCAGGTATGAAAAGCCCGATATTTGCGGGTTGATGTGTTTTTGTTATTAAGAAAAATCAAAAAGAATATTCTTTTTATGCCATGGTGTATTGTTCACTTTGTGGCTTAATAATCCAAACATTGTTGTCCATATTTTTTTATTTGAACTTTAATATCTGTTTCTGCTTCTGAAGAGTGTCATATCATACGATAAGTTTTCTTTATTAAAATTTAAAATGAATTAGAAAAAAGGCATCAAATTTGTTTAATATCTCGTATAATCATCAAAATTATATATTTATCAACGTAAACTTGAACTGATGCAAAAAGTTTCATTTATAATAATATAGATTAAGTTCTTTTGTGTTTCTTATGTTTAATTAACATAGATCAACTTTTTTACTTGTTAACAACTTTTAATGATTTGTTAAAGAAATAGAGACTTGATTAAGAGTTAAAAAGTTATTAAGCTATGAAACACCCTTGGATTTGATTAATTTATAGGATATTAATTATTATTGAAAATTATTATTTAGAATTTCAACAATAAACGTTTTATATAGAGAGAATAATGTGTGGAAATCAAACTGAAATTACTTTAATAAAAATAAATCAAAATTATGATTTCATTGATGAAAAATTGAGCAAGTGGAGGAGGAAAGACAGCAGGAGTATGGTTGGCATGGCATGGCAATTAGCCTTAGATCTTTTTATTCCATTATTATGTATTTTAAAATTAAACGCATAATATGTTAAAACTTAAAACCAAAGGGAGCTATTATAATTTGTAAATTGATTTTGATAATACTTAAACCACAGATGCTTGCAATGCAATATTATTTCCCTTGGATTTTGGATCAAAAGATTCCACCATCAATAATGTATATAAAAGATAGAATAAATTAATAAACCAATCATTTTTGTATATATATTTTATATTGGAGATTTCATATACTAAAAAAAGAGTTTTGTTATACAGTTACATATTTCCACTTATTTAACAAAGAAATTAGAGTTAATGATTTTATTAACGAGCGATCGTTCTGATAACAATACATAAAGGAACCAAAACTTGTTACACTAAAAAACTATATATATTGAAATATATAGAATTGTAGAAGTTAGTGGTTGTTAGAAAATCGGAGTATAGAATTGTTTGGATCAATGAAAGTTGTGAAACACTTTCAGATTAAAGCATTTGGAGGGTACATTCGAAAATCTCTAATCGGATAAAACTCACTATGGAGAATGAAGAAGATGTTATATGAAGATCTGTACCCAAAATGATTTCGAAAATTGATTATATAATAGGAAACAACCTCTTGTCTTAAAACTGCCAAATGACAGTTTTATGTCCCAAAACTTGTCCAAAACGGTCATAAACTAATTTAAAATCGGGTCTAAAATATGGATCACAAAACCGGATGTATTTACAGAAAATACGAATTTCGAGGGTACACTCGACCCCGGCCAGGGACTCTGGTCCTTGGACCCCGCCAGGGGCTGCCACCCTTGGACCCTGCTCCCAGGGGCGCTGCCCCCGGACCCCTGTCAGTTCAGGGGCTTCGCCCCTATATAGCAGTATATTTTCAACAAAGACAAAATTAAACAAATATACACTCCGTATCATACTAATTTGTTCAATAATTGTCAAAATGACATTGATCAACAAATTAACCTAATTACTCTTAAATAATATTAGTGATATAAAATCACCAACAATGATTTGTAGCATAATGACTTATAATGAGAATCTAGTGGTTGATAAGTACAATTTTATACGGAAACATAATGTTCAAACTATGACACATTCCAAATATTACTAATATTCTGACTCTCTACACAAGCTTTAGAACAGATTAATGTAGACCATTTAGATGTACCAGTTTATTGAACTTATTCATTATGCCCTTGGTAAGTTCTAGAAAGTTCATATGAATAGTTGCCTATTATAATTATTAGTTTGTTAATATTATTGGAGTGGTGGACTGTTTCAAACTTGGGGCATTATACCTTGCTATTTTTTATTTTTTATTTTTTTCTTTTTGTTAATATAAACGTATATAACCAAAAAGATTAAAAAAAAACTAAGTTGGTCAATCAAATAATAAATATGAATATCATAACAACTATAATAATTTGGTGTACCAAATTAGATGAGTAGGTATGGACCTTTGATCAAAATTGCTTCGCTGTCATTGACATTTTACTTAATCAACGACCATCTTTTAATCGTGCCTATTCATTAATTACGTTCACATTTCTTTTAAAAACATCAAAGAATGTATTAACTTTTTAAAAATTTGTACAAGCTCAAGTTATGTTCACATTTTTGGCTATTTTTCTAACACCATTCATGTTTTAATCATGCTAATCACGAATAAAATAAGCTATCATCAATGTCAACTGTTTTTCAAAATTTGATTATACGTGTGGTTTTCTAATTAGTTGTGGTAAAATAATGGGATTTAAAGAAGCATATAGAATGTTATTGTAAGTAAAATAAATAGTAAATTAACCAATAATATATAAATAGTAAATTAACCAAAAATAAACTAGCTTATAAAATGTCTTATTGTCATTTTACATTGTAATCTATAAATAAACTAGTTTTTATCAAACATTATATCAAGAGATCTCTTATATTAATTCATAAACTAATTTATCATCTATCAACTAAGTTATCAATTGCTAGCTAGCTTTTTAACTAAAAATTAGTTTTTCAGTTAGTTTTTCAGAAACTTAAGTCCAATGTCTAAATTTGGAGAAATGATGATAAGATTTATTGCAAACTAAAATTTCTAGCAAGTTCTAAAAGTATAGGGGGTGTTTTATAAATATTTTGAGTAAAGACACATCACACATACATGACACATGTATACATGTTACATGGCAATGAGTGACATATACATAAGATGACACGCTCCTCAAAACTCTTTAAAAAGCCGACTCTTTCCACTCACATAACCACTTTCACAAACCCCAAAACAATAGAATCTTAGAAAGAAAGAAAAAGGGTTTAAAAAAAATAAAAAATGGGGAGCTGTTCATATGAATCGATGTCATCGATCTCCGAAAGGATCTTCCGTGAAGAACAATACCCAGAGCTTGAATTTTCCAACGAAACATCGATTGATAACGAAAACCGATCTGGGTTTTTCAAGAAAGAGGATTTATGGTCTAAAAACAGCATCAGGAAGAAGAAAAACCAAGTCTTCCTTGAAGGGTATGTTGAAACATCCGATGAAGATGATCTTGTTAGGGCCAAGAGTTTAACCGATGAAGATCTCGATGAACTGAAAGGGTGTTTCGATTTAGGGTTTGGGTTTAGTTACGATGAAATTCCGGAGCTCTGCAACACTTTGCCAGCTCTCGAATTATGTTATTCCATGAGTCAGAAGTTTCTAGACGAGCAACAAAAGTCACCGGAGGTGTCGCCGCCTCTCGCGGCGGAGCCTGAAACCGTTTCACCGCCTCCTGCTCCGATTGCTAATTGGAAGATCTCAAGTCCTGGTGAGTGTTTTTTTTCTGAATTTATTCTTCGATCTTATAATTTCAATGCGATCTGAAACCGTAATCATCATAATAATTACTTTGAAAACCCACATCAAAACCCCTAAATTGATATCAGATCTTTGTTCTATAAATTATGCCGATTATAATGTGGGTCGAAGTTTAATTGGATTAAAAACTTTTGTAGGCGATCATCCCGAGGATGTGAAAGCAAGGCTCAAGTATTGGGCACAAGCAGTGGCGTGTACAGTTAGATTATGCAACTAGTAAATGTGTTGATTTATGCACCGATTTGAAGCAAAATTTTGGATCTTGATCATCAGTCATGGAGACACGACGGTGGTTGCCGCCTGCGGGAGGTGGTGGTGGTAGGAGGAGGAGGAGAAGATTGTAAGGTTGTTGGTTTGGAATTCTTGATCTGGAGATGGATAATTGGCTTGATTTCCATCAATGACAGGTTTTGATGAAGGTGGAGAAGGAGAACTCTAATTTTGTGATGGTGTTTTGATTGTAATGAGTTTTGATTGGACAAAATTGATAGTTGTATGATATGATTTAATTTGTAGTTCGAGAAATAAATTCATGAAATAAGAGTTCTCATGTTCTTCTCTTTGTTGGGTTTAATTACTTTTTGTGAAATAACCGAATGTTCTTGACACTGTAATTCTGTAAAATATAACCCATGTAAGAGATAACTTGTATACGGGTTGCTGGATTCTCATAATTTAGCAGTATCAACCCAAGAAATAACAATATATTTTTGGTGATTTGTGATATAGCTAACAATGTCATAAAATGAAACAATGTTCATGGCTTATTGTATAGATTTTCAAAATATAATGCTATAAGTTGTATATTCTTTTTAGAAGTTTAAAAGTAAAAATATAATGTTATAACAGAAAGAAATGAAAGTGTAACGATATAACATAGAAATGTAAATGATATAAGAACCATGTGCCCAAAAAAACATCGTAATGGCTACGATTTAAAATAGTCACGATCACTACAATGTGGTCCATGCAATAATGGAAATTTCAACTTGATGGGTGATTGGTCGCGTGATTTGTGTTTAACCAATTTCGGTCCTGTGATTTCGGTTTGAGTTTTATGATTTATGATTAACTTTCTGTTGCGTATAGTAATATATTGATGTGATAATCCCTTACAAACGTATATTACAAGCAAAGAGATCATAAAAATAGTAAACTGTATCATCTGGACAGTACACCTCAATCTGTTCCAATGTGTAAGTGGGAGATCAATCGCGGAAAGCTAGCGATATTTTTTACGTGACAAGGTTTGAACCATTGACCTCCTTCCTGTATTGAATTTCACATCTCAATCACCAAGCTTTCATTGCAGGAAGATCATAAACATAAGTGTTTATGAAAATGTTTTATTATATAATAGTATAAAAATGGGTTGTACCCCACACGATTTATCGTAAATCTATAAATGATTAAATGAAAAAAATAACAATGTATTTTTGGATCGATACTATAAAATTTGATTAAAATACTGATTAGATTGAGAATTGTAGATATGAGATTATTTTATTAGTTTATATAAAGCTTTAGTTAATCGAATTCCATAATTTGGTAATATTGTGTATTAGATAAATTAAGAACTTATCTTCTATTCAATGATTTATGATGACTACATGTAATTAGTTTTGAAATTGGACGATATATATGGTATCAGGTTCAGTGTGGAATGACTATGGTTTATTATATTACTAGGTGTAAGATCCGTGTATTACACGAGTTTATTAAAAATAAAAATTTAATATGAATATATATACATTAAATATTTTATAAATTAATGTTTTTCCATAACAAAATGTAATCTTTTTGAGCATTTATGAAAGAAATCAAATCTCTTTGAGCATTTATGAGAATTTATTATCAAATTAATAAAATGATAACTTTACATATATATAACCCATTAGAATTTTTTGGAAATTTATTTTAAGAAAATTGAAATCCTCAAAAAATGACAAGTGAAAAAGTGGCAAAAGTATTTGTCAAAATGAAAGAGAAGATGACAAGTGGCAAAAGTATTTTCATTTATTAGGTAGGAGTGTGGATTTGAACTATTGTAAAATTTCATATTTTAGGAGTATGGTGTATGAAAAATGTATTTTTAAAAAATATAAAGAATAAATGTGTTTTATAACAATATAAATAAAATTAGATTTTACCCCTTGTGATTGACAAAACTCATATTGTCTTATGATTGTTATCAAGTTCGTATGTAAAAATTATGAAGTGCACCGAATAGTCTATTTTGAAGCTAAAAAATTATGACTTCCTGAAATCCAAATTGAGAGTATAAAATGTTCATAATAACCCTTGTTACAGGAGAAAAAAAAACTACAAACTTAAAAAAACACACATCAAACGATTAAAATAACTTAAAAAAAAAAGTCTGGTTTTTGTTTGAACAAACGAATGTAAATAAATTATTTTATATGTAAAAAAAATAAATTAAACTCTTAACTTTTTGACCGTTCAACGGTCTATTTCACTATTAACCAATCACATAATGCGACCAAAAAAGGGAGAGGTGCGGTCAAACCGCACCCAAGACCTCATGGGGGGGGGGGGGGGGGGGGGGTATTCCCTGTCTATGTGGCAAAAGGTGCGGTCTCTACCGCGCCACTCCTCACAGTCTAAGAGGGTGTTTGGCTTTGCTTTTAGAATGACTTTTGGGACTTTTGGCTTTTCCAAAAAGTCAAAAGTTTAAAAAGTTGTTTGGTAATTGGAAAAGATCTTTTAAATTAGCTTTTTGAGAAGAAGAAAAATAAGGCTTTTAAGAAGTCACAAATTTGTAACTTTTGGCAACTTTTGCTTTTTTCCCTTTCCCTCTCAAAAGTTTAAACAAACACATTTTAAAACTATCTTTTGAAAAAATATATAAATCAAAAAGTTCTTTTCTAAAAAGGACTTTTTGGTCTGAAAAGCTATCCCAAACACCCCTAATAATCCTTAAAATTGCACAAATTCAAAGAACGAATCTTAAAGTCTTAAATCTTTTAAAAGTATAGAGCATAATCAGTCCTAAAAATTCAAAACACGTGAGGCATCACAAAGTTAGTAGTTGTCGTTTACGCCAAGAAGTTATAATTTTCCTCAAATTGACTTGGACTAAACATATTCTTCGGTTCAAAATCATGCTTTAATTGGTTTCTAAAAAGATAAGGATGTATCATTTAGGCCACTCTAAATATTAAAATACTTTACATTACGTTTACCCCCATAAACTTAAAACCATTCAAATGGTGAAAAATAAGTTAATTATTCAAATTGTAAACTTAATAAAAGCTTACAGATGAGAAGGACATACAAACAAACAAACAAACAAACAAACAAGATATCAAAAGCCAATCTCTCTCCCACCTTCATGGATAAGACAAAAAACTGTAAATTTCGTCAAACTGACATTAGTGTCACTCCAATGCATGTCAAATACAGTGTCTTGTCCTGTATAACAAGTCTGGCTTAATGAACACTGAGGTTTTTAACTCCATCTTCAACATGAGAAGAAAGACTACTCTTTCTCCACCTCCAATAATTCACCCTCATCGGATCCATAATTTCCAAAACCGAACAAACCCTAGCTGCCGCACCGGAATCCAAATTGTTCGACTCCGGAATCAGAGATTCCAGAGCACTTTTCAGGTCTTGGGTAGGTTCAAAACCATGGACAAGGAGATCCAACAAAAGGCTAAGAGCAAACACACAGTTGACTTTGGAAGTCAACACTTTCAGACAAACCGTTGAGACCTTGGAATCTGTTATAAATGCATTCATGTTGTTTTTGTAGAGGCCACGAAGGTATCTCCATGGACTTTCGTTCTCTGGTTTTGTCAAAATGGCTTTTATGGTGTAATTAACCTCGGAATCTCTTATTCCCTCTATGCCTCCCAATCCGGGGTGTCTTGTTATAACAAAGTATCTCTGAAAAAGAATTAAGTTATGGATTTATAGCTAATAAACAATTATTAAAAGATTTAATGTATAACATGTCTCAAATAAACAGTCGTTTGGTTATTCTTATTCAGAATCACTCTTAAATAGAAGGGCAAAATGGTGATTTATTCACATTCAGACAGCTCATCATGTATGAAAAACGACTATTTATGGTTTTAATTTATGACCGTATTTAATGAATAAACAGACATTTGTTATTCAACATTAGTTTTGAACAAATGGGTAAAATGGTCATTTACTCACATTCAACCAAAAAACATTTGTGTGCAACTTTAATTTATAGCACTTGTAACAGAAACAGTCATTTGTCATTCACAATCACTTTTAAGTCGCTAAAAAACCAAGAATGCCATAGGAATGGGGTAAGGATCAGCAACAATTGTTAAACAAAAGGGTAAAATAGTAATTTATTCACATACGTACAATTTATTCAGACCAAAAAAACAGTTATACAATTTTAGTTCATAATAACTCTTGAATTAACAATCAATCGTTATTCAACATCACTTTTAAACAGAAGGGTAAAACAGTCATTTACTCACATTCAGACAGTTCATTCTGTTAAAAAAGCAGACTTTGTGTATACAACATTTACTCCAGGCATACATCATTTAAGCACTTAATGGGAAAAGATACAGGGTCTAAGCATGATGAATGAGATTATGTATGAAGAAAAAAGTAATTAATACAAAATAAGATGTTGAATTAGGAATTTAGGATGGTAGATTTAAACAAAATCCTTGAAAATGACAAATATATATTCATGGAAAACAGTTTCTAGACCCCAGGAACTGAAAGAACATTTTGGCCCCACTGATTACATTATGATCTATCTTAGTAATTTCAGCAGAAAGCATGTAGTAGAATAAAGATCTCATGTTAAGAAACTTAATCTATATACCTGATTCCAAGCAGAATTGTTGAAAATATCATCTTCAAGTAGTTTATCACAGTAAGCAAGTTCATATTCCCACCCTCCAAGATTTTGAAGGACCCACTGAATATGAAAATAAATAAATCAAATTTGAAGCCTTTATACATACTGTAATATAACTAAGTTGCATACCTGTCTATGAGACCAAGCATGATAATTTTTAGCATCGTTTAAGAATATGTTCTTGGTGAACTCAAGTTCTCTACCAGCAGCTTCACTCCCAAATTTCTCAGCAACCCACCTCCTATGGTGCCTGTATTAAGATTTAAGAATATTTCAAATCATATCATTTACAAGCTATTTTGGTAGAATCTGAATGCTAAGTGATTTGTCTAAGAAAGAGTATATTGTCTCACCATAGTTGGTAGTTTTTTGAGTTCTTGCTAGCAAGATGCTCAACGAATTCTAATTCATCATGCAAATCAGCATTGAGAGTCTCCAGTATTACTCTTCTGAATTGCCACACCTGTGATGTGAAAGATAAAAAGCATGTTGGATCTCAAAGTAGATAGAATTGGCCTTTCTTGCTTCCACTATGTTCACATCAATCTCCTTCTTGTATTGCTAAGTTCTAATCATGCTATCCAAAGTTTCTTTCTTTCTTGTATTGCTAAGTTCTAATCATGCTATCCAAAGTTTCTTTCTGTTTGTAAGAACCATGTATCAAACTACTCAAAACCCCCA